TAGAGCTGCTAAATTAACCGAACGATTACCGGTATAAGTAATCCCCCACCTGTTGGTCAACAGCTAAGGGTGGAAGAACCGACACGTGGTAGGGCACTTCATTGCCCTGGAGCATAGAAATTAACTCCGAAGGCGGAAGAACTAAATTAGTCAACGGCATTGAGATGTGGAAAGCCAGGGGATGACTACCACATTAAAGATCCGTAAGGATATCCTTAGTAAAAATCATCATAGACCCACTAATGGATAATTTACTTAATGATCATGGAGCTCGGAATCCAAGATCCGGCAGGGGAGGACAATCAGATTTAGACGACAGGGACGACTCTCAGGTCGTCAACAAGGTAAATCCCTGTCAAGCAAATAACTCTATAGCCTTGAAAATCGGAACATGGAACGTAAGAAGTTTATACCAATCAAGCAAACTGGATAATGCTGTGTTGGAAATGTGCAGAATGAAAATTAATATACTGGGCCTTAGCGATATACAATGGCCTGAATCAGGAAAATGTAAGACCAGAAATGGAACGATGTATTATTCTGGAAACAACGATTCCAAGCACAAACGGTGAGTTGGCATTATAGTTGATAATAATTCTCATAAAGCTGTCTGTAACTTTGTTCCCTACTCTGATCGAGTATTAATGCTGTCTCTAAACTCTCATTTAAAACGTAAAATAAATATAATCCCAGTATATGCACCCACTGCAGACAAGGATGAAGACACCATAGAGGCCTTCTATGAACAAATCGACAATGTCTTAAGACTAACTAAAAGACAAGATATAAATATTATAATGGGCGATTTGAACGCTAAAGTTGGCCAAGGAGAAGTGGAGAATTGCGTGGGGCGATACGGACTCGGGGAAAGGAATGAACATGGCGATAGGCTTGTCGATTTCTGTGTCAATGAGGAACTCATAATTACAAATACCTTGTTCAAACTTCCTAAACGTAGACTATATACATGGAGGTCACCAGCTGACAATAACAACAAAATAGTCAGAAATCAAATAGATTATATTATCGTCAACAGAAGATATAGAAATTCTATAATATCATCTAAAACTTATCCAGGAGCGGACATATCCTCCGACCACAACCCGGTTGTTTTGTCGCTGAGAGTGAAACTAAAGAAGGTCAACAGCCCTAGCACTAAGAAAATCATAGATACAAGACGTCTCAAACAAGACAACACATATATGTGGAAACCAAATTTAAAATAAACGAGAGCTTAAGGAAAGTCAAAGAAGATAATGCAGAAACTCTAACTATTGACCAAAAATGGGGAAAAATTCAACATGCCCTTGTGTCAGTTGGAAAAGAAACCCTCAAACCACTTAAAGAAAAAACAAAACCTTGGATGACAGTAGAAATTCTTGAACTCATGGAAGAACGAAGAAAACATAAAGCAAAAGACCTGAATAAATACAAAGAAATTCAGAGAAACATCAGAAAGAAAATTCGAGAGGCAAAAGAGAGGTGGCTCTCCGATAGATGCAAGGAAATAGAAGATCTGGATAAAAAGTACGATAGCTTTAATTTACACAAAAAAATCAAAGAAATGACAGGTTCTAGAAAGCGCACAAAAACGAATATCCTTAAAAATGATAAAGGGGATATTATTACTGATATGAAGGAGAGATTATGTCACTGGACCAATTACATTCAACAACTATTTAATGATGAAAGAGAAGAACTGTCATTAGAAATCACCGAGGATACTGGACCACCAATATTAAGAGAAGAAGTCATCTATGCCATCAAAAACACAAAAGAGGATAAAGCTACTGGACCAGATGAGGTGCCCATTGAATTATTAAAACTCATCGATGAAGATGTTATTGATGTAATGGTTGAACTCTTTAATCTAATATATCAGACTGCCACAATCCCCAGACAATGGCTGCAATCAACCTTTGTAGCAATTCCCAAAAAACCAAGTTCAACAACTTGCTCAGACCACAGAACGATAGCTTTAATGAGTCACACACTTAAAACATTTTTGAAAATAATTCACAGCAGAATTGTTAAAACTCTTGAATATGAGATTAGTGACACACAATTTGGCTTTAGAAATGGTATGAGTACAAGAGATGCTTTGTTCGGCTTGAATGTGCTGACTCAGAGATGCATGGACATGAATCAGGATATGTACTTATGTTTTGTAGACTTTGAAAAGGCATTTGATAAAGTTCAACATAAAAAGCTTGTAGATATATTGAAGCAAAAATATTGACAGTCGTGATCTGAAAATTATATCTAATTTATATTGGAATCAAACTGCCAAGGTAAGAGTTGACAGCCAGTACACCGAAAATATCAAAATACAGAGAGGAGTCCGCCAGGGTTGCGTGCTGTCCCCACTACTTTTCAATGTCTACAGTGAAGCGGTATTTCAAGAAGCGCTCTCAGACTCAATAGAAGGTATATCTATCAATGGAGAAGTTTTGAATAACTTACGTTTTGCAGACGATACAGTAATAATTACGGATAACAACAATGATTTACAGAACCTAATGCAACGCCTTAATGAACGCTGTCATGAGTACGGACTGAAGATAAATTTAAAGAAAACTAAATGCATGATCATGACTAAATCTGCACATGCAAATATCCAATTGACTATTGAAGATACTGCAATTGAGAAGGTTAATAACTATAAATATTTAGGAACATGGATAACATCAGATGTAGACCAAACCAAAGAAATTAAGACACGTATTGAAATAGCACGTACATCATTTATTAAACTTAAAAAGTTTCTTTGTTGTCGGGATATAAGGTTAGAACTACGCCTGAGAATGCTTCGATGTTACGTGTTCTCTACTCTTCTTTATGGTCTGGAAGCTTGGACACTCAAACAAGTTCATCTGAATAAGCTGGCCGCCTTTGAATTTTGGTGTTACAGAAGAATCCTACGAATATCATGGATTCAAAGAATGTCAAACATGGAAGTAACTAGAAGGATAGGAAATGAGGCGGAAATAATAATAACTATTAAAAGACGAAAACTTGAGTACTTGGGACATGTGATGAGAGGGCAAAAATATGCATTATTACAACTTATTATGCAGGGCAAAATCCGAGGAAAGTGAAATGTGGGAAGACGAAGAATATCCTGGCTTAAGAACTTAAGGGAATGGTTTGAATGCAGTAGTGCAGAACTTTTTAGAGCGGCAGTCAACAGAGTCCGCATAGCCATGATGATTTCCAACCTTCGATAGAAGATGGAACTTAAAGAAGAATATATATATATATATATATATATATATATATATATATATATATATATATATACAATTAATATTTCTTGGGTTAGGTTCAATATACAAATATTAATTGTATATTAAATATAATACGGTTCAAGAAACTCAAAACTACTATATATAATATATACAGGGTGAGTGGGGAGGAACGCACCAAACTTTAAGACTGTATAATATACGTAAAAATAAGTAAAAATAACTCATATGTTGTTATTCGATTTTCATTTGTTTTCGAGTTATAGCGATAATAACACAAAGTTGTAATTTTACTGCTACTTATCACATTGCTGTAACAGGTATCTGTGATTCGTTTAATAATTAGTTAACTGTCATAATAGTGTAGTGTCAACGTGATTTAATGTCTATTTGACAGTTTGTATAAAAAAAGTTGTTGCAAAATGCCACATACTTATTCAAATAGTGATTATGCAAATATGGTGTTCGTTTATGGCTTTTGTAATGGAAACGGTAGAGCTGCTGTTGAAGAATATCATCAACGGTTTACAAATCGGATAACTCCAGATAAAAATGTATTTATTAGAGTTTTCAACAAACTATGCGAGACCGGAACGCTTCCTAGTTATAAAATAATATCGGAACGTGCTCTCCGACAAAGTTTACAAGAAATACAAAATATTCTGGATTCAGTAGAAGATGATCCAGGGATCAGCTCACGAAGAATCGGTACTCATTTAGCCATTCCTCAAACGAGAGTAATTAACACACTTCACGAGCAAGGTTTATATCCATACCACCTACAACGTGTACAGCACCTACAACCAGAAGATTATGCCAGCCCTATGCAATTTTGTCGATGGATAAATAATAATCGTCGTGTTATATCCCGCATACTTTTTACCGATGCAGCAACATTCACCAGAAACGGTATTAATAATAGCCGCAACTCACATGTATGGTCAGATGAAAATCCACATGCAACAATTGAAGCTAGTTTTCAGCACAAATTTTCGGTAAACGTGTGGTGTGGTGTGATCGACGGTTATTTAATTGGCCCTTTCATATTTGAGAACCGCCTTACAGGAGAGGAGTACTTGAATTTTTTACAGAATGAATTGCCAGGACTCCTACAGAACATTCCACTAAATATCAGAATGCAAATGTATTATCAGCACGATGGAGCTCCTGCACATTTTGCTCGTCAGGTCAGGCAACATTTAAATACAAAATTTCCAAGGCGTTGGATTGGTCGCAATGGTCCTATTAGTTGGCCTCCGAGGTCTCCAGACCTAACACCATTAGACTATTTTTTATGGGACTGGTTTAAAAATGAAGTTTACAAGGTAAAAGTCGACACTCGCGATGCACTAATTCGACGCATTAAAAATGTTGCAGCCACAATTAGAGCAAACCATGACGCAATCAGAAGAGCAACGTTGAATGTTCATAGACGAAGCAGAAAATGCTTACAGGTCAATGGTGGTATTTTTGAAAATTTATTATAAGAACATTTAACATTAAATTAATGTGAAGTTACAACTTTGTGTTGTTATCGCTATAACTCGAAAACAAATGAAAATCGAATAACAACATATGAGTTATTTTTACTTATTTTTACGTATATTATACAGTCTTAAAGTTTGGTGCGTTCCTCCCCACTCACCCTGTATATATATATATATATATATATATATATATATATATATATATATATATATATAAATTATAATGGTATTCAATAAAAAATAGTAATTAAACGTTGTTTCTACATACCGCATTGAAAGAGAGCAGCAATATCTACACCGCACGAGGTAAGTAGTTGAGGTACTTTTTTAGCCAGAGCCGCCAACATTCCAAAAAAACCCTCTAGGACGTCAGACTTCTCTGAAAGTTGATTGGTCGTATTATATTGGGCGCACATTTGCATTGTTGTGTTGGTAAGTTCGTAAAGAAGTTGCTGATTTAATCTACAGAACTCATCCTCTCTACCAAACAGTATTAAAACCTAAAAAGAAATGATATATTTAGTATTGTTTTGAAGCTATTTTCTAGTGGCATTTTAAAGTAGATACTATTTTATTGGAAATAAGCCACAATTGAAGGTTAAAATAAGTCCGTAAACTAATTTTCAAAACCAAATTCAGATTTTTGCTTTAATCTGTGCCTTCTAAGAATTGCAAGGCAAAACAGACGCTAATAAAGATGTTATTAGAGACATGGGGAATCTAAAATTTGCATTCCACGATATATCTCCTCAACTAAGCAAAAATCCTTAGCGAATTGGTTCCTTACTTAAAATAGGTATATTGACGTTTCAATTTCCACTTCGGAAATCGTTGTTTTTGAGAATTAGAATCGTGGCAGATTAGAGACTATCTTGGCATTGATTAGTGGGTGTCCCTCTCGTCGTTTCCTTGGTTGGTTGTTGACGTGGTTTCCAAGTTGGTTTTTGTGCTGGATTTCTATTTCTCTAGTCGTCTATAGTCTCAGATGCCCTTGGTTGTCTCGGTGCGAACTATCCCCTGGCTTGGTTCTGATTGGAATTCTTTACAGCTTTGGGTAGTTCAAGTTGTCGAGCTGTACGCCGTGAAATATTTTCGTCGTCGTAAATCTTCACAAAATAGCCTCAGATATTCCTCTGTTTTGGCATATTAATACGAAGATGTTTTCGGATTTCTGGACGAATCAGGTTGGTAATGGCACTGCACCTTTCGTCTTCTTCGATACTAGGAAGTAGTCTTCGGAAAAGAGCTATCTTGGTTGAAATGAACTCGGCTATATGCTGATACCTTTGATAATGTCCGTAGAGTTTGGACATTAGTGATGAAAGTTTTGTTGTATTCTCAAAATGATCAATCAGCCTGTTGAAAAATGTTTCATAATTCAGACCAGTCGTACCAACGGACAGGGATCCTAAGAAGATCTTGGACCACCGGTTAAGGCTCTACAATTTCCAGCTCATCGTCAGATCACCGATAAAGTTACATAAACAGTAACGATACAAGGAATGTGTTTCGTAGTATGACATTTTAGAAGTTAGACACTGATAAAATTGCCTGCCCTATTTTCAAACGTTCTCAAAATTTAATGGTAATTTAATAATGATGTAAGATAAAACACCAGAACTATCGCTTGTTTAATGTGATAGTTGTTGTCCTCGTATATTAGTGTGTCGACCTTCTTGTTTTGTATTAGGTTTTAATATTAAAATTCTGAACAACCTCACATATAGTGCTATCATTAAGTTTTAATAATCACAAAAATACCGAGCCTTCGAATATCACATTTTCATCTGTCATTCTCAACATCCCCTTAAAAAGAAAAACGTATTTTCCCTCCTAATACTGTCAGGATATGAGATAAAAAGAGATGGCGTAGAAGGGGACTCAAAGTACATTTAAGTAATTATGAGTCTTTTATTTTTTTACCCTATTTTATTTAAATTAAACTTTAAAAATTTCGTGTGTGTCTTAAGACTGTGAGGCTGAGTTTTAGACAGAAATGTTGCCTTGGTAATATCACAGAAAGCTGGCTAACTTTAAGGTATTACCGTATTACCTTGAACCGGTATGACCGCATTGCCGTGCCTGGCAGCAGGCATAGCTCAGGACATGATGTTTATCGCTGCTAAGTCTAGCTATCAGGCCATCTATCACCAGATTCCACAAGAGAGAAGACTCACAGAACAGTAACTTTGCGTATATCACATGGCTCCTCAACATCATCATGCAGTCTACGTCTTCAGGTTGTTTCGTTTATTCTTCTTCTTCTTTAAGTTCCACTCCTATCGGAGATTGAAAATCATTCTGGCAATTATAATTTTATTGGTTACTCGCCTGAATAGTTCAATTGAACTGCATCCAACCACTCACGGAGATTGCGTAGCCACGAGATTTTACGTCTTCCTACGCTTCTTCTACCTTTGATTTTACCCTGCATTATATTCCTTAGTAGTTCGTACTTTTCACCTCTCATGATGTTCCCCAAGTATTCCAATTTCCTGATTTTTATGGAATTTAAAACTTTGCATTGTTTTCCTAGTTGTTCGAGAACTTGTTCGTTTGTTTTGCGATCCATCCATGATATTTTCAAAATGCGTCGGTAACACCACATTTCGAATGCTTATAGGTTTTTAATGTTGGATTTTTTAAGTGTCCAAGCTTCAACTCCATACAAAAGGGTAGAGAAAATATAACATCGAAGCATTCTTATTAGGAGCGATATATTGATATCGCGATTACAAAAAAGTTTTCTCATTCTATTAAAAGTTGACCGCGCAATTTCAATGCGGCATCTTATTTCTTTTGTCTGATCAGTATCTTCTGTGATCCATGCTCCAAGGTATTTGTACGAAGATATTCGTTTATTCATTTTAGGCAAATCGTCATTGTGATTGCTTCGTAGGAGGTGTTGTCGAATGCTCCAGAGTAATGCAACCAGCAACACCTCTGGGTTTTCTAGAATGTACTCCACCCTCTGTACGAGATGATGCGATTTTCATAGAGTCCTGCTCTATACGCATACTGTACGTATTTTAAAAATTTTTTGCTTTGTTTATATTCCACTTTGGTGTACGCTCCAAAATAATGACACCAATGAATTTGATTAATCGTATTACCATTAAACTAACTTTGTATTTAATATAGTTATATACTTACAGTTTTTGCTACATTTAGTATATTAGACTGCAGACATTCTCTATATATTGTGACTATTAGTTGCAAAATGTCATTTATTAAAGGTTTGCAATCATCCTTTAGAGTGCTTACACCACATTTGAAAACTACACTCAAATCCTAAAAATAAATTCATTGAACCACGATACATTTTACAAATTTTTCTGTTTACCTCGATAACTTCTACATTCCTACAATACTTCTCTCCAATTATCCTAAAGATTGGCATCATCTTTTGCATTACAACTAAAATTGGCTGCTCTACTTTCTTCTCTCCGCTTTCGATGCTCAACGAACTAAACAGAGCTGCAATCAGCCTCAGTCTTATCACCAAAGAATTGCTTATTGCTGGCGTCTAAAATATCAAAGAAGAATATTAGCAGATAACCTTAGAGCTCTTAAAAAGAAAATTAATCCATACGCTTTATAATTTTAAATATGGTCAATTAACAGGCAATTATGGAGAGAACAAATTATACAATCTCACTAAATGCTAACAGAGATAAACAATGAGAATACAACGTAATAAAAAAATAAATGATTTTAAAGAACTGAATAAACACTGCGTTCGTAGAAAGTAAAGAACTGAAAATAGGAAAGTATTTCTATAGATATCAGCGTTTAAAAATGTTAAGGATTGATATCTAATCGCCCGACGTACTTCAAGCTTCGCACTTACTTGTAACTGAAAGAAGAACACAATAAAACTGCAGAATTTTCTTTGTATTTTATAGTGTTTCCGATTTATTCTAACTCAATATTAAAACAATATTAGATAAACAAATTATGGACTGCTAACAAATCAATAAAAGTAATAACAGTAATAAAAAATAATAATAAAAAAGAGACAGTAAATGCTTCTTTAAATAAGGAATACTTACTGGGTCAGCTTCGCTGTATTTTTGAAGATCTTCAAAAGATGGCGCTAATATCATATTAAGGTAAGTCATTATCCTATCAACTGGTAACGTACTTAATACTCGTCCTATACTATACATCAGTCTTCGACACTCTGCGGGTTTTAGATTGCCACTTTGTAATACTGTCTAAAACAAATAATAAATAACGTCAAAATATTCCATGTTAGTATGATTTTTAGACATTTTTGTCACTGACGACTGGAGTATATAGAGAAAATATTTTTACAAAACTATATACCTGTGAAGCAATTAGAATATGTTCACCAAAGGGCGCTAGGTATTTTTGGCAATTTTGGGTTATGTCTTTTAATGCCATCGTGGCACTGGTTGATACTTCAGGATTGCCCAATCCCGAGAGTACTAATGGAAAAATATTTTCCAGTAAGTCCGGATGATCCATAAACCATTCTGAAAAGGCACCTAAAATAAAGAATGTCATAATCAGCTATGTACTCCAGAATTCTAAATTATTACAAATAAAATTTGCAAAGAGCCTGTATCAGTCATATCGTCGTAGATAGATTGAATTATCGCTACATATACGCTGAAGATACAAAATGTATAAAAGTCTCCCAATGTTACCAGGTCAGAGCAATACAATGAGGTATTCAGTCAATTTGGCAGTCATTTGTATGGAACAAGATTTTCAAACAAAGGAGATATTAACCATATTGAAGGAAAAACTGATGCTTGTGATGAAATTTCAGATTTGGTTGTTTTTTGTTCCATAAATATTTGTTTTAAGATTTTTTCAATAAAAAATTAGTTTCAAGGAAGCTGTGTGTTTTTTGAATTCAAATATTGTTTTTTTTCTGTTGCAAAATCGGCAATCTCCAAGTGTTTGAAGCAAAACCAGAAATCTCCAAACTTAAATTGTTAATTACTTAAAATTTAATGAAATAAGCAGGTTAGTTTTGCGTGAATAACTAAAGCCAATGTACAAATTAATATACATAAAAAAAATAAAACGCTAAAATTTTATTAAAAAAATTCTATTTACTAAAAAATTTGTCAAAGTGCAGATAGCTGGATTTGCTTCTAGACCTCTCATATCTAAATACACTGAGTGGCGCACATTTGTTCTTTTTCTTTTTTTTGTGTATATTTTATGCATGTTCATCGTACACCATCTACCATGACTGAGCAACGGTGCCTTACTCATAAGGTGTATCAGTGTCATGAGCCTATTTCCTAGTAGTTTGGTTCACACTGGAAGTTATTAAAACTTTATCTTACCTACAGTTTCTAAAGCAGTGGCCATAACCTTTATGTGTAGTTCGTTAAATGGTATGTTCTTTATCGTGGTCATCAATTTGGGCAAATAAAGGTTTTCATATTCAATACTCTCAGCGACAGCTCCAAAAGCATGAAGGACGGTTTCTACTTCGTTCCATTGAACAGGTACAGTTGAATTGTTTGTCCTATAAAGGATTAATGTACTTTTAAGTTAATATATATTCTATTCGAAAGTTGAATTTTAAAAAACCACGCGGAACAGTAAACAAAGTAATCGAGTAAACAAAGTACCTTATACAATATACTAGACACATGGAGAAATAGCATAATGATGTCGATGCTTAAGAAAGAAGATACAGATGACCCCAACAATGATAGAGGTATAAATCTAGTGAACACCGCACTTAACCTTACCACAAAAGTCCTAACCAACAAAATCACGCCGCATTTGTAAAGACAAATCACAGAAAATGCCATCGAGTACAATAAACAAGCATATCTATGTTTTATAGACCTGACAAAGGCTTTCGAGCACATCGCAGTCGAAGACGTCTTATATCTACTGTATCAAAGAAACATACCAATAAATATTATACAAACCATCGAAAACATCTACTTCCATAATCGAATACAGGCAAAGATAAATGGAAAACTAACACAATGTATACCAGTACAAAGCGGAGTTAGGCAGGGTGACTCGTTAAACCCATTTCTCTTTAATATAATAATGGATGAAATAATACAAGCAGTACGTAAAGGTTATGCTTACATAATGTGGAACAAAGAAATCCAAATATTATATTATGCAGACTACTCCGCATTAATCGCCGAGACAGAAAACTAGTTCCAAAGATTAACACACATCTTGATTACAACAGCCAAGAAATACAATATGATAATATCAGCAGAAAAAACCAAATGTATGACAACATTTAAATACCCACTACGGTGTAAAATCAAAATTGATGGGAAAATAATAAAGCAGGAAGCAAGGTTTAGATATCTTGGAATAGATATAACTAGTTACGGAGATGTTGAAGAAGAAGTACGATAACAAAGCTTAAAAGCAAGTAAAGCGGCGTGATCTCTTAATGACACAATCTGGAAGAACAAACAATTAAGACAAGACACAAAAACAAGAATTTATAAAGCAGCAATTCTACCTATATTAACATACACAGCGGAGACAAGACCTGACGCACCTAAAATGAGATGAATACTAGAAACAACTAAGATGAAAATACTTTGACAAATATCAGGGAAAAGTCTGTTACATGGGGAGAGAAGCGAAAACAGAAGAGCATGCAATATAGGAGACATAAATGGATGGGTGACAAAACGAAAATAGGAGTGGAACGAACACAGTAGAATGACCGAGGATAGGATAGTATGAGATAAGTCACCAAATGGACGAAGAAGTATTGGCAGACCAAGAAAAAGATAATGCGATAATTTAAACAATTTAGGAGGCTAATATTAAAGAAGAAACAGGCTTTAAAGCTTACATACAAGAAGGAAGGAGAAGAAGCAGAAGAAGAAGAGGAGGAGTTATTCATTTAATTATAGTATGATTTTTTCTTTGGGTGACATGTGTTTGGATGACAATATTTACTGATAATTATATTCTGTAAAACATCGGTTATTGTAGAATGTTTTGGAGAAGTGTACTATGAGTATACCTCAGAATACAATTAACGTTATAGGGAACGTGTATAACAGATTTCAATGTCGAGTCTTGTCAAATGCTATCTACATAAATGCTACAGTCAGGCAAGGCTGCATTATTTTACCTACTTTGTTATTGTTACTGCTGGACGATGTTATTAAGAAGATCACAAAAAAATGGAGGATAATTCAGTGGGACTCTTAATCCAGCATTTGGAGGGCATCGACTTTGGTGACACCATCGGTTTTTTAGCGCACATGTTCACCGACATGACATTTAAATTAGGTGCATTAAAGTTGGAATCTAAAGCGGCAAATCTTGACTAATACTGCTAAGACCAATAAGATCAGATTGAATATAGCAAACATAGACCAACCTTGGATGTTGGAGTTGAGACGATAGAAGCATATAGGAAGTGTTGTAACAGTGGGTGGGAGGGTGGAAATACGAACGTTGCATTTGTTCAACTCTACCCTAACTGGAGTAACATATACATCGCCCTAAATACCAAGTTTCGTGTCTTTAACACCAACGTTAAGTCTGTTCTGTTGTGGGCTTGTGAGACATAGAAAGTAGATAGAAAAATAACGTTACAGCTCCAGATACTTACCAATCGTAGTCTCAAGTCATATATAAATATTTGGCGACCTGAAAACATTTCAAAGGAATAATTGAGGAGGCAGAATGAACAAACCAGTTGAAATATAGGTGGGAAATAGGAAGAGGAGGTAGCTTAGTCAAACTATTAGAAATACAGTTGCTGTTATTAATAAAATCGCAAGGTACCTGGAAGAGGACCACTGACAAGGAAGCATGAAGCATTGGGAAGACTTTTGGCGAGCTGAGAAACCTGACTGGGAATAGAGACGAATAGTGAAATCTCCCGGATGTACTAGGCTCCTCAGAGGTTAGAAGAAATAACTATATTTCTTCTATAGACACATTCAGTACCCAATACGAATTATATCGTAGTTAAATGTCTATGCGTATGCACCAGCTACGAGATAATTCCTACTCCTACCTTACAAATACATGAAAATTGACTTATTAAAACGAAATAAAAAGTTTGCATTAACGTTAATGATAAGACTGTGTATTTATAAAAGGTACAAATTTGAAATTACAAAATTTTTAGTTCGTTAGAGGTACTCGACTTGCTATTCAACGTTTCAACTGCCACGTATAAAGGATTGTTTTTACTCGACTTGATTTAGCAAATTCTACTAATTTACTCTAATAGTGTGAACAATATACTCAATGGACTATACTTTATCACTGGCCACGTCTGAACAGTGCTTTAATACACTGCTTCAAAACATATCTATTTAAGAACAAAAGAAGAACATATAGCAATCTATGGTATATGTATTATACAGTGTAGGAAAAATTTTATGGTCGGTATGGACCTTACGTGAGATGAAGTGAGAAACAGCTGTTTAGAAAGAGAGAGGTATATTAGGTCCGCCCTTTATATCGCCAAACATGCATGCCTGGAAAGGGGAAGTTCAACGTTGCCAAACTTATTGGATTTATTTGACCTGTTGTTTTTTTTTGCATTTGAACAATGTTCTAAGATAATCCAATTTGGGCGAAATTGATTTAAATGGCAGCTTACTGTTTTTTTTTATTGGGAATATGCCACAAGTTTACTTTACAATAAGTATAATATAACATTTTGATTTCCACTTTGGAAATCGTTTTATATACCTACTAAATAAAATTTATTAATGTTTCGTATTTTAAGTACGATTTCCGAATTAAAAATCTAAACATCAAAATAAGCTTATTTTAAAGTCGCATACAATAACACCACATTAAAAAATATTCATACACAATAATTTATTTGGCAACGTCGTCCGTCTGGTCAGAACACCGAGCAACGGGTAGTAGAGGTGGGTCGTGGTAATTTTATCGTTAAGAGCGTAAGAGCGATTAATATTTTTTAAATGCATTCATTTTTTTCGAATCCTGATAAAACTAATAAATATTCTTGAAAAATTTAAACGCAGAATGAACCAATACATTATTACCGAGGGCCAAAAGTCCCTGAAAACTTCTATAATGTTTATTTTAATAAGTTATAAGGACGAAAAAAAATTAGTGTGATTTTTAATTTCAAATATCTCATTCAAAAAACTTTTTGTTTATTCCAAGGGACTTTCGGCCCTCGGTAATAATGTAATCTTTTATTCTGCATTTAAATTTTTCAAAAATATTTGTTAGTTTTCTCAGGATTCCAAAAAAATGAATGAATTTAAAAATTTAAATTTTTGTAAACAAGTAACTATGATTGTTTAAAAGTAGTTTCAAGTAAGAGAGTACCTACATAAACAAACATAATGGCTATTATCGTTTATGTGTATATTTATTGAAGTGAAAGAAACTAATGATATATTTATTATAACTTGAAAAATAAACTAAACAATACAAATAGTAAATCGTACTTACATTTACATTACACGTTATTATTAAATCGCGAATAGTCTAAATTGACATTAAAAAACATAAGTTTTTCTACTATACCTACTTCTTATTAACCGTCTTCTTTTTTTATTTCAAATTAAACCAGATTTTGAACATGTGTTCACATTTACAATACTGTATGAATATAGGGGTTAAGTTAGGATATACATGGGGATGGTTTTTCCACCGTTGTAATGGACTCTCGATACAGGTGTACGTGTAGATGAGCCATCTCCAATTAATTGATCAAATATACACCATGGATTTAAGTCACCTTTATTGGTTTCTTTTTCTTGTACTGGTTGATTTTCAATAGTACAATCTTCTTGTTCGTTAATTATAGAAGTAACCAGCTTCTTAACTTTTTCTTTTATTTTTTTATCTTCATTTTTATCAGAAAAACCCTGCACTTTAAATGGTGAATCCATAAATGTACATAATGACAATATGCCACTCTGTTCTACCCTTTAAATATTTTTGCTAAACCCGATATTAGTAATTGTACTACGTCGGATACTATGGATGTAAGGTTACCGTTTGCTAAAATTTTTTTGCAAGATTCTTGCAGGCCGCGTACCATAACAATCACTGAACTACCCTTCAAGTATTTTTGGTCACTCATTGTACTTGTTATTTCTTTAAACGGCCGTAAAATTTGGGAAAGCTGAGAACAAATAATCCAGTGTTTTTTATTTAGATTTGGTCTAAGTCTAAGTCTCTATTATTTAATACCGATGTGGAACGGAAATACACGCCAGTACACCGAAAATATCAAAATACAGAGAGGAGTCCGCCAGGGTTGCGTGCTGTCCCCACTACTTTTCAATGTCTACAGTGAAGCGGTATTTCAAGAAGCGCTCTCAGACTCAATAGAAGGTATATCTATCAATGGAGAAGTTTTGAATAACTTACGTTTTGCAGACGATACAGTAATAATTACGGATAACAACAATGATTTACAGAACCTAATGCAACGCCTTAATGAACGCTGTCATGAGTACGGACTGAAGATAAATTTAAAGAAAACTAAATGCATGATCATGACTAAATCTGCACAAATATCCAATTGACTATTGAAGATACTGCAATTAAGAGTGTTAATAACTATAAATACTTAGGAACATGGATAACATCAGATGTAGACCAAACCAAAGAAATTAAGACACGTATTGAAATAGCACGTACATCATTTATTAAACTTAAAAAGTTTCTTTGTTGTCGGGATATAAGGTTAGAACTACGCCTGAGAATGCTTCGATGTTACGTGTTCTCTACTCTTCTTTATGGTCTGAAAGCTTGGACACTAAAACAAGTTCATCTGAATAAGTTGGCCGCCTTTGAATTTTGGTGTTACTACAGAAGAATCCTACGAATATCATGGATTCAAAAAATGTCAAACATTGAAGTAACTAGAAGGATAGGAAATGAGGCAGAAATAATATTAACTATTAAAAGACGAAAACTTGAGTACTTGGGACATGTGATGAGAGGGCAAAAATACGCATTATTACAACTTATTATGCAGGGCAAAATCCGAGAAAAGCGAAATGTGGGAAGACGAAGAATATCCTGGCTTAAGAACTTAAGGGAATGGTTTGAATGCAGTAGTGCAGACCTTTTTAGAGCGGCAGTCAACAGAGTCGGCATAGCCATGATGATTTCCAACCTTCGATAGAAGATGGAACTTAAAGAAGAAGAAGTGAAACGGATTGCCTCTTCTAACTCAGTCATTCCTTTTAATCTGTAATAGGTGAAGTTCTACCTAGTTTCCACGTCTTGGATTGGCCGTTTGGGAACTTTGTTATGTTGTAATTAATACTTTAAAAGCCTTTCTGAAGATAAGGTACTTTTTTTTAATGTTTTTTTGCAGAATTGTCGAAAAAAGGACTTTTTATTTTATCTATTATCAAATCAGTTTTGACATAACATTCCTGAAGTAATGAATCTAACAGTTTTTCTTGTTGGCAGTTTATATCCAGGAATCCACCCTGCAAACTTTTTAAAAGCTGGTTCTTCACCTATAGAAAACGGATGAAACGAGTCTTTGCATAAGTTTAGTAAATCAATAAGTTTAGTCAAGAAAAAGAAACTGATAAAGATGACTTAAGTCCATTGTGTATTTTTGATGAATTAATTGGACATGACTCATCTAAACATACAACTGTATCGAGAGATATACAAGAAGTCGACATGTATTTGTCTGATAATATATTACCCACAATAAATTTCGAACGGAGATTGGAACTGTCCATTACCGTGGTGGAAAAACCATCGCCATGTATATCCTAACTTAGCCACTATATTCATAAAATATTGTAGAATTGTAACAAAATCTTTTCCTTGTGAACACATGTTTAAAATCTGGTTTAATTTTAAATAAAAGAAGAACACGGTTAACAAGAAAAGTAGAAAAACTTGTTTTTAAATGTCAATTTAGATGATTCGCGATTTAATAATAACGTGTAATGTAAATGTAAGTACTATTTGTATTGTTTAATTTATTTTTCAAGTTATAATAAATATATCCTTCGTTAGGTTCTTTCACTTCAATACTTATACACATAAACGATAATAGCCAATATGTTTGTGTACTCGCTAATTTGAATCAACTAGTTACAGTTTACGAAAAACGGTTCCGATAAAAATTTAAAAAACGGGAGGACCCACCTCTAGTTTTTTAGGTATAGTAGGATCGGAACCAGAGAATATGTAAAATATCTCTGATCGGAACTATTCGTCTCACTAATGGCCAATAGGTGTTAAAAATATTTGAGGAGGGGAGACCAAGGGGAAATATGATTGTTATCTTTGTCTATTCGCTGAAAATATGATTTTATATCTGCGTTAGATATCCTGTTAAATTTTACCATACCGACCATACAATTTTTCCTACACTGTATATTTTCCGTATATGTATTTACACGTTTTCTAGACAGCTTTTATAGAGATAATTTTCAAAACATGTATGGAAGTATAAAAAATTAAATTTAACTAATTTACCTCAAAGCTTCAGTCAGTTTCGTCATTAAAATATCCAACATTTCCAAGTTCAGGACTACGTAACAATACATGAATGTGTCGGCTATGTCTTGTCTGTAACACCTAAATACTTCTTTATCATCTAAACTCCAGTTGTTGTCATCTACTAATGGAAACATTGATTTCCTCAACATTATACAGACTAAATCTCTGTAATACGGTTTTACTGTCAGAATGAGGGAGGCACATTCAGGAGCTTCCAAAGAAATTATGTCGTCCTAATAAAAAAAGTGACTTCTTATTTAAAGTGTCTATATTAATTCGTATACACGTTTAAAATATTAGGAAACGTGTAATTAATGTAGTCTAGAAAGCAAGACCCAGGACATTAGCTATAATGAATATTATGCCAAATCTAAGCAAGGTTACTATTTATAAAAGACTAATTCAACATGCACAAAGAGATATTAACCTATGTGCAAAGACTCTCCTTGAAGTCATCACTGCGTACACAGTTCGTCCTTAAAGCCTTTAACTGTCTAAATCACAAAATATTTCTAATAAACTGGAAAGATATGGTTTTAGAGGCACTGCTGTAAAGGTTCAATTCATACTTGGAAGACAGATGCCAGTCTATGGCATCAAGAACGGTGAAATTCATACTTTACAAAACAATTTGTAGGTTTTTTGAGATGTTATGAAAACTGCAAGGTTACTTACATAATAGACAACAAGAAAAACAAAAAAACTGAAATAGAGCACTACTGTTGATTAATTTAATTGCCTGTTGATTTAATTTTCACAGGACCGCTTCTTTAGATTGTTTGAGACCATGCAAAATGAAACGAACCAAAATATTACATTCGGTACATTCCTACGTATGAGGTCCCTATGGTTCAGGGAGGTGAGCGATTGTCAAGTGCATTAATATCGAATTTATAGGATTCGTGAAATAATTTGTTCGATGTGGAGATTGGTTCCATTCTTCATATCAAACAAATTAACCCTATAAATCATCATAGGTCATTTAATTGCAACAAGTTCAGTCATTATTTCTACCGATGCATAGTCCATGATCATAGTAGTGCCATTATGTGTAATAATTTATGGTCATTCTAGTTTAGATATTTCATTTTTTAGCGTTCTATTAGTTTCAATTATAGTATGCATCTGGTAAAACGGTGTTGGTTGTCGTTGAGTTTTATAGGTACACAAATGTAATTTATTTCTATATTTCTATCAGTTCTTTAAGCTATGATTCATAAAACGAAAGTAATACTGTCAATATAAGCTTTTAGTGCACAAAAACCACTCTGTTCCTCATTTGCTTTGATAATTTTTTCAATCGCGTCTCAAAATCGTATACAAGAAACTATACACAAGGTGAATCAAAATTAGGTAGTAAAAACTAAAATATATATTTCATCCTTACCTGCAAAGTGTACCAAAATCCAAAAGTAAGTGTGCTGCTGGACTCGTCTATGGGATAAAAACCAGGTAAATTTGAACATTTCAGTACGAAATTTAACAAATCAAAGCAGACTCGTTGTGCTTCAGGATCTTGTGATTTTAAATTGTCAATAAAAACTCTGGAGTGAGTGTCACCAATAGCTATTACTAAACCATATAATGTAGCTACAACATCCTGAAATTAAAAAATATATAATTTCATAATATATAATATATATATATTCTTAGAAAGGGCTTTAGTGACTATGTGAGTAATATATACGGATATCTTGGGTTTAGTAGTCAATATTGGCCTTTAAGTAAAACTCTTTTAGGTTTGTTAAGCTTTCGAGTTTATTGTACTCTTTTTCAAAACGTACTAAAAATTAACATAAAAAATTACATTAGATAAATGAAGTTATTATATCTTCAATAGGTTTACCCTTGTGAGGATTGTGTTTTAAAATTAGCAAAATTAATTAACATAATGACATTAAATTTGATTTGCTTTTTCGTTCTGTCAAAACTTATTACTAAGGTTTCCATGTCTCTTCTATTTTTTATATTTATTTTAGGTGAGTTGACAGAGAAAGTGTCTATGTTTATGCAAACCTTCATTGCAAATTTTGATATAATATTACAGTTATTAAACAAGCAACAGAGTACTTAGATAGAAAAAACACAAATAAAAATAAATTTTATCTCATTTGAACTTGGAATAATCCCTTTAGTATGCGTAACTTTTAAGAACTTTTATATTGTTATTCTTTTATTTAAAAGAAGATTAATGTATATAGCACTAATCACTAAAATCACTAAATCACTAAAAATATCATAAAAACAAAATATACATAGAAACTGTATAAGACAACTAAATTCAGTGCTGTGGGATAAGAACATTACGATAAAGACAAAAAAGAGAATATATAATACCCTGACAAGAAGTATCTGAAAACTGGACAATAAACAAGAGAAATAGAGGTAGAATAAGAGCAGTAGAAATGGAATTCCTGAGGAGAAGCTGTAGACTTACAAAAAGACACAGAATTGAAAACGCAGAGATTAAGCGGAGAATGGGAGTGCAATCAGACATAATCGACTATATAGAGGAGAAGAGACTATCCTGGTACGGTCACGTCAGAAGAGCGGACAGAGGACGCTGGATAAACAAAATTACAGAATGGAGCCCGATCGGAAGAAGAAAGAGAGGAAGACCCCGAAGGTCATTCAGAGACGAAATCGACGAGGCTATGGAGAAAAGAACCCTGCGAGAGGGAGACTGGAATGACAGGGAAAATTGGAGAAAACGGTTGAGTGAAGGAAGACAGTGAAAACTGTGGAAATCCTTAGTAGTAGTAGTAGTAAAAACAAAATATATGGTAGTAATAGCAATTCCTAAGACAGATACAGAACTTCGACCAAATCATCGAGGCTGTTCAAGAATTTGTGCGTATTGGTTCTCTGGTCGATGCAAGAAATGATATGAACAACTAAAGAAGAGGCGAATTATCCTTGCTAACATATGCTACTTTGATCTATTAAAATACTAAAATATCTCGGGAACTAAAAAAACTAAAACTTATAAAACTTTGATAAGATTAATTTTAACGTATGGCTCAGGGACAACACAAAAAGATAGATACATATTCAAAAATATATGGCCCTAAATAACAATGGCTTATGGAGTAAACGTTTTAGTTTTGAGCTATAACATTTATACAGAGAACCAAACATCATAAAAAACAATTAAAATCACCAGATTGAGATGGGTCGGGTATGTCTTAAGGGTGAAAGGGGAAGAATCGGACCAAAATCGATATTTGGAATGCTTGTGGGATAGAGACAACGAGCAAGAATGTTTCCTAGACAATGTGGAGATATTCAGGTTCTGGAAACAAAGAATAACATTAAAATTCTTGAACGAAGAAAGCCAAAATATACTACATAAACTAGTTAACAACATACATGAAACAGCAACCCTCCCGCAAGATCCGTTGAAATCAATATTTATTCCAATACCCAACAAAAAAGGAACCAATGAATGCTCCCATTTAAAAAAATGAGCGTAATGACCCACGCTCTTAAAATTATCTTAAAAGTTATTCATTTCACATTACGAATATAAATCAAATTCGAAGAAAACTTAAGCGGTGAACAATTTGGTTTTAGTCAAGGGTTGTGACCAGAGAGACCCTATTTAGTGTTACAGTGCTATTACAAAGATGCAGAAGACAGACAAAATATGTTTATATGTGTTTCACAGATTAGGAGAAAAATGTATGACCGAATAAAAGATACCAACTGACTAGACAGAAGATACCAATTGTTAGACGAATGAAGTATAAATTTTATTGGCTCCTGTAAGTTTTCTTTTTAGTTTTAAGCGTTGATATTCATTTATTTTTGTTATATTGGAAAATATATTTTGTATTAAGTCATTATTAAGAGTTATTTCTATACTTCTATACTAGGGGACAGTGCCCTACAGTGGCCATGCTCCTACAGTGGACACTTTTAAATTTCTGCGAATCTATATCCTGATGCGTGCTGCCACCAACCTTGTTGAGTGCGCATTAGAATCAGCAACGATGCATCTGTCAGTCACGTGTAGTTCGAGCAGTGAGAAGGTGTGTGTTTTGCGACGCAAAAAGTTTCGTTTTCATCAAAATAGTGAGTAAAATTGTACATTATCATTTATATTTTATTCCAAGTAACATCCATGGCATTAATTGTGTATCTAGTGACCACATATTTCCCCTGTTTTCATCTGCTAAAAATTGTATAGAATATCATATCTACCATTTTTCTAAAAAATGTGATAATTCCTACAGTGGCCATGGTAAATGTAGCCAACAGTGGCCACTGCTTTTTGGATTCATTTAGGGGTGGCCACTGTGGGAATGAATTCCGTTTAAATGCTTTATTTTTTATAGATGCCGAAAGGTGAGAAACTGACAATTACTCCAGAGCATGTAATGCGGGAAGCAGTACAAAAAGTACTAGAGGGCGGCTGGTCTACACAAAGAGCGGCAAAATACTTTAATATTCCCCGTACGACATTGAGAAGATATGTCACTAAATGCAGGAGACAAATGGAGAACATAGACTTTAATTAGGCCAAGCATCCTAGATTGACTCCAAATTATGCATGTCATCAGATCTTTACTTCTGCAGAAGAAAAAGAATTGAGCTCGTACATCAAACATTTGGCAAATCTTCATCATGGCTTCACGCCAACCCAAGTAAAAGTTTTGCATATGATCTAGCCACTTTCTACAAGAAAAAGGTACCCGAATGCTAGGAAAGAAACAAATCTGCTGGCTCCAAATGGTTCAACGGGTTCATGAAGAGAAACCCTACTTTATCATTAAGGGTCCCTGAAGCAACGTCACTAGCTCGAGCCATGGGATTCAATAAGCCTGTAGTTGACAAATTCTTCAAAAATCTGAGTGATATTTATTTATCTCGTAAACTTGGCCCTGATCAGATCTACAATGTAGCTGAAACGGCCTTAACTACGGTGCAGAGTACAAATAAGGTTGTTGCTACTTTGGGCCAAAAGCAAGTCGGCCAGATTACTTCGGCAGAGCGAGGAACCCTAGTCACCATGATTAGGAGCAATAAATGTAATTGGAAACTCAGTTCCTCCTCTGTTGGTATTTCCAAGAAAAAATTTCAAACAGCATATGTTAGTTGGGGCTCCACCTGGAAGTGAAGGAGCAGCAAATCCTTCAGGATGGAGCTCGAAAGAGATTTTTTTACAGTGGTTAAAACATTTTATCAAACATGCAGGTCCTACTGAAAATCGACCAGTCCTGGTTATCGTGGATAACCATGACACAATAATGTGATCTTGCTTACATTTCCACCCCACACAAGCCATAAGCTCCAGCCATTGGATCTTTCTGTTTTCGGCCCACTTAAAAAATACTATAATAAGGAGTGTGGAGTTTGGATTGCCAATCATCCGGGAAAACGAATTGATATCTATAACATTGCCGAGATTTTGGGCCAAAGTTATGGCCAGGCCTTTTGCACACAAAATATAGTTTCCAAAATATAATCAACCAACGAAACACTTCCAACGATTGTTCAAGGTGATGAGATCTCAACCGAAGGTGATGAAGAGGGTGCTCTATACTTTTCACCCGAATTGGTGAGACCTTTCTCGAAAGCAGAAAGACAAGTCCAATCTAAGCGTGGACGGAAGAAAAGGGCAACCGAAATTTTAACAAGTACCCCCAATATTCAGAAGCTTAAAGATGAACTTGATGAAAAGCTAAAGTTACAAAAAAGCTTCCATTAGTAAAAATTGCTTCCCCTAGCTCATCAGAAAATGAAGATCAGAGTGAGCAGGAAATTTTGTTTGCCTCGTCCACACTTACTGAGAATTTCGATGAAGAAGAGGATGACGATAGACCTTTGGAAGTGAGCAGTTTTGTTCTTATGAGGTTTGCTACCACAAAAACGATAAAATATTTTGTTGGACAAATCAAAGAGGTGCTACCTGATGAAGAATATATGGTGTCGTTTTTAAGAAAATACAGGGAAAAGAAATTCGTTTTTCCAAATGTTGATGATGTTTTTGTGATACAAAGGGCAGACATTGTTCTGCATCTACCTGAACCAAAAAATACTGGAGGGACATTAAGAACAGCTAGATGCTTTTTTTTCGATATTGATTTGGACCCTTATTATATGTTCGATATATATTATTTGATTATATTATTATCAACTAATCGACCAAACTGAAGACTGAAGATTTTATTTGTATACTTTTTCATTATTTGTCTTCTTTAAAATATCACTTTTATGTTTTCTTGAAAGTTTGTTTCTCAGGACTTGTTATGCATGAATATTTTTTATTTTCCCAAAGATGTTGGCATTTAAGACTTATTTTTAGTTATTTTGTTCTCTAAGTTCGCAATAAAAGTTGAAAGCAGCAGATTTAGTTTCATTATTTTCTTTTTAAAAATAGTGGCCACTGTTAGACCTATTGGTGGCCACTGTAGGCGCTATTTTCCTACAGTGGCCACATTTTTGAAAAAGAGTATGTTGCTTTGAAATAGGTTGTTTTTTTTTTATTTTTTGCAAAGTTAGCTGGTTGCAAATATGGCAATTTGTAAACAAATAATGAATGTTTTGCTAGGTTTAATTATTTTTTCAAAATTGCTAATGAGTAAAAAGTTATGTCCAACAAAGTAAAAAGGTGGCCACTGTAGGGCACTGTCCCCTACTATTTATATATTTCCTTCTAGTTGTGTAATATATCTCAATGACTACGGAAAGATAACCAAATCAACAAGACAAAAATCCTTTAGTAAATACTTACTTTATTCATATCCTGCTGATTCCTTTCCACATCCAATATCTTATCGAATTTGTGAAGTATTTGAGCTGCATATTTAAACACATGATTTTTATACTTGTGGGTGTGAGGATGCTGAAAAATTGCTGTAAGAGCTTCTACTGTTATTTCCATCAAATCCATTTCATCACCAGATAAACCTTCTGGATCAGACTTATTCCTGTAAAAATATTGAAACTCAAAAATTTTTCATAAATATTGTAAGCTTATTTTTAAAATTCCACCTGTAATGTGGTCGATAATTCCACTATGGGTAAGAATATTCAAAAAAGTTATTTAGAAAGGCTGTAGTAAAGGACGAATCAACAATATTATATCGCAATAAATATTTGTTTTCGATAGAAAACGAGCACACGTATTATATGCCATGCGTGTCTTGTTACTAACATTTTTATACACTTTAAGTCAACCTTGTAAATTCAGCAATTTTGTACTAACATAATTGGTCTAGTAACGAGACGATGTGTAATACAACCTTGATGTTATAAAAGGAAAACAGAGAGGAATCAGGTAACTCACTAATAGTAATGTAAATTGGTTGGTCGGTGCTTGTAACAAAACAGATGTAATCTCAGTTACGCGTAGTCAAATCATTAATCATAAATTTTAAATAGTTTGTCAACAATAAAGATTTAAGAACAAATTATATGTATATTCTGACTCTCTGCACCCCAAATATTTTTGGGGTGGGAGCTTCTGCATTATATATTATGCTAGGTGTACAGACAAGATATGTTTTATAGATTCCAATTCGGTCTCAGTCAATTAAAATAGAAGTTGCAATTGATGCTAAAATTTCTGTACTTACCAATAAACATAACATGTAAGATCAATGAGGAGGTTATTCACTGAATTACATTCATCCATATTTAGACCTCCCAATTGTATCCATGCAGAAGCACATCTTGAAGCATTCAGATAAGTTGTTAAGTTACCCATGTTAAATCTGTAAATAAATGTGTACTTAAAAGTTTATACATAACAATTATATAATTTAGGTACTACATATTTACCCATTAACTACAAGATTTCTATTTATTTTCGATGTAAATGTTTTAAAAGATAATGAAATCATATCCTATGACACTATGACTACGACATATCTATAAGTTGCATTATACACTTCTCGTAGTATACAACGCCTGTTCCAAAGTAGCCTACCTTCATTCATTATTTATCTTGAGTAGCGTTAAGCACATTGTTAGCCTTTTGTTTACATTGTCTTCTGAGTTTGTTACAATTTATTATTGTTAAACATGTGAGGTGCAAGCAACAAATTTGTATTGAATTATTGACCTTTTAGAACAACAGTGAATCAGACAGCAATCATGGAATTTCGAAAACTCGTGTTTTGAGAATTAAATGGTAAACAGTAAAATTAGAAGCAAACAGTAAAAATATTAAATAAAAACTATTTTCTTCATAAACTTTACAGAAAATGTATTCCCTTACACCTATACATATAAAATTAAAATTTTTAAAATTAAAGTCGAAGGTTACATCCTCGAAGCCAATTTGTCGCCTTGGGAGTAAGTTGGTGGATTTCTTGAAGGCTGCCAAAGAACTTGGTGGCTGGACACTCGAAGACGATGTGGTTAATTGTTTGTTCAGCGGCGCTGCATTTGTCACATTCCGGGCTGGCATTTATACCCCATTGATTCAGCGATTTGTTACAAATTCCATGACCAACTCGTATTCTATTTAGGTTGCACCATTCACGACGGGGAAGAGAAAAGCCGTCTGGTTTGATTGTGGGGTTTTCTATCAGATTGGAATTTCTGATGTCTGGATTCCATTCGCCCATCCATTGCTCTTCAGTAGTGAAAACAGCCAATTTTGTAGCAGTTCTAGTAGGTGGATGTCTGGATTTCAGTCTTAACTGCCTTTGGTGTAGTTCAGCGATGTCTGTGTTTATCGGTAGTTCTGGGTTTTGTTGGCATTTTTGAACTAGAGTGTTGGGTGCGGCTAGTCGTCTTGTTGCTGGTGGAGCGATGTTGCTTAAAACTGGAAGCCACTGGGTTGGTGTGGGCTTTATAGTTCCCGTTATGTGCCTCATTGTTTGATTTAACTGGGTATCTATGACTTTTGTGTGATGAATGTTTAGCCAGACAGGAGCGCAATATTCTGCAGTAGGATATACTAAGGACAGCGCGCTCGTTCTTATTACCTCTGCATTCGACCCCCATGATGTATTTGCTAACTTATGGATAATATTATTGCGGGTCTTAATTTTTGCTGAAGTGTTTTCCAGATGCTTTTTGAATGTTAGGGTACAATATAGAGTTATGCCGAGGTATTTTGGGTTAGCACTGTGCTTTAGCCTGGTTCCATGGCATTCTATGTTTAGTCTGTAATTTGCCTTGTTGTTGTTTAGGTGGAAAGCTGTTACTTCAGTTTTCGATGGGTTTGGTTGTAGGCCCCATTTCTTAAAGTATCTGTTAACAGTGTTTAGATCTGCTTCTATGGTGGATTCAGCGATGTTTATGTCTTCTTCTTGGGCACCCAAAGCCATGTCATCGGCATAAATAAATTTGCGCGAGGTGGTAGTTGGTACATCTGACGTATAAATATTAAAAAGTAGAGGAGACATAACTGACCCTTGTGGCAAGCCGTTTTGCAGGTTTCTGAAGATGTACTATGACTTACCTGGTTTGGAACAGTTTTTTCACCTATAGTTAAATTAAAAATTACAATAAATTTTATATTTACCCTGCAGCAGGTATGGGCATCAAACACATTTCCACGACTGTTAATATATCCTTTGAAACATCCTGAAGAACTTGTCTGACTCTATTCCTCTGGTTCAATGCCAATGTTGTTCTTTGAAACTGAAAGCATATTAATATTATTTTATATATAATTTATAATAATTTCAGAAAAAATGTACAAATTTGAAACACATTTTAGTGGATGATGCAATATTAACGCAAATTGCCCCTTCCTCGGTTGCTGAGGAAGAACTTGGAAGAATCAGCATGCAGTCCTAGCCAAGTTTATTACATGAGCAGTTGAAATTGAGATTTAATGTGTTTCAGGTACTGTAACAGTTGAAGATTAAAGAGTCTTCATTAAAATTTAAACTTTAATGGAAATATTCAGTGCTAGGTACCAGAATGTCAACTTCATATATTTTACACATTTTGAAAAATTAATTTCCAGAAAAGAAAATTTCAGTTCGTGAATTTCTCACTGGTTTATTAATGAACAAAAGAAAAAACTTCACTGTCAAAGGTAATACATTTCTTTTTCAAATGAATAAATAAAGATGCAAGAATATCATTCTAAATTAGTGATGGCCTGACTCAGTTGGACAACCCCAACCCTTGATGTAGCATCTTTGACAATGTCTGCTGCAATCACAGATGAAACAAGGACAAAATAAGTAGACCATGGACCAGAAAATAATGCATCATTACAACTAGCCAGTTGTTTTAAAGAGTTGGTATCTTAATTACTACAGTATTATAAATTAAAATAAAATGTTGGTGAAAATAAAAAAATGCATATGTTATGAAACTTATTGTGATAATTATACACTAACCTCTTCAGGTATCACAGTTAGAATTTCTAATAATATCCAAATTACTCTCTCTGGTTCAACATTTGGTAGATATTGCGGTTGAAAGCTTGATACTAGTTCTTCAAATGCTTTCGGCCAGTGTGTTGGTACAGTATGAATTATATAAGCAGATAGCTACAAAATAATATATTGAAATACTGTTTTGATTTCCAAACCAGAAGTTTGTCAATGTGTAACAGATTTTGATGTCAAAAATCAATTTCTACAAAATATATTTTATATAAATAAAATATCACAAACAATTTGTGAAAACTGGACACTGAATTAAATACTAAATTATACTAAATCATAGGCATACTAAGTTTTAGGTGCAGTGGTAACCATAGTTTGTCTATGGTATTGGGATACAGAACTGAATGAACTGGGTTCGATCCTGGTTATAGAGGCCAGAACTTTTTAAATATCTAAATTTCCTAAGCCAATAATGTGCTTAGGAGGGCACATAAAGCTGTAAGACCCAGCTATGTAAGTAGTTGTTAGTACTAAAACTTCCACCAAAGGTTTACATGAATGGAGGAAGTATACTAAATCAATTGGCTATGATACAACTAGTTATAACCTAACCTCTATGTCAGTCACTTACAGGTATTAGCATGATATAGAATGGATCATACAAATAACTTCTACACTAATGAAAATCAATAGGATTAATTTTGCTTTAGGATATACAGCCTTAGATTGGGAAATAAGGGATGATCTTCATCCCAAAGACTGGAAAAGATCTTCAGAAATAGTTCATTGTTCTTTATTTTTCGAGGCTATGGAGTGAATATTCTTTTACCAAAGCATTGAGCATCACATGATCAATCATTTATATTGCATCCTACTTAGTTTGCTTAAATCAGTACCAAATTTACAAATTACATTCCCTGCTAACTAAGGTAGAGATATCAATTAGCAATAAAGCGAATGTGCTTTCCTGTTTCTTTGATATTAAGGGAGAATTCAATAAGCTGTCTCATTGAGCAATTACAAAAGTACCCAAAAACAAGAAAATATCTTATACACAAATGTTCACTAGGTCACTCTCTCTCCCAAGATACTCTAGAGATATATAAGTCATTTTTTTGCAGTATGAATAGTTTACAACAGACAGCTTCTGAAAAAAATGCTCTTCATGAAGAAAATATTGGTAAAGACTGAAGGAAATTAAGTTAGGGGTCTAAGTTAGCACCACTTCTTTGTGGTGCTATTTTTCAATATTGTTTTATCATCCTTATGTACTATGGTTTCAAGTAATAGGAGGAGGAAATGTGGTGGACTGTGTTCAGAGCTACTTGAAGAGCCTTGACATAATTTCAGATGGTACAAGGATTGTAGTTTCATACAATACTCTTTACACCACTTGTCAGCTTCAGAGTATAGCAGGGAGCCTGCTATTTCTTGGGTAAATAGTAACAACAAAGGTTACAGGGCAAGTTTTAAACTTCAATCACCCATTATTATCCTGAGGTACACATTTTATTCAGACTGAGCCAACCTGGGGCCTTTAGGAATCAAGTGATGTGTTAAAGTATACTAAGATTATATAAAGAAAATACCCTAAATAGAAACACTATAATATACAGTAGAACCCCTCTAATCCGTCACCCACGAGACTAGCAGTATGGTCGGAACGCAAGAAAGGTCGGATTATCGGAAAAAGTCATTGTGTATGACGTATGTATGTGTTTTTAAAAAACGACTGTATTATTCTCTACAGTGATATAATAAATAATTATATTTCAATAAAATAGAAGAAAGCTTTTGTTTGTACATTATTTATTAAATATGTATGTAAATATATAATGTCAAAAAAGGTAGCATAAAAATTAGTGCTTACCTATGTAGGCCTACTTAGTAAAAAAATCAGTAATAGATTTTTGTTTACAAGATGAAATTCTGGATTTAGCTGCAAAGTTCCTCCATTTTTTCATCCACACGATGTCCATCGCTGTTGATGCTGAGTTCTGCTCAATGTACTGAAGGCCAATTTCAAAAGCATTCTTGGCATCGGTGTGTGAAATCCGGACAGGAGTCATCATCATCACTGTCGGATTCTGAGTTCACGATTCCGTCACCGTCACGTTCCATAACAGCGGCAACAATTTCGTTATCGTTCAGCACTTCACTGGTTTCGCAGTTTTTGTCACATTGTTCAATCCACTCCTCAACTTCACTAGCAGGTATATTTGCATCCAGGGTCTGAAGATTGGTAACGATTTCCTGCACGTCGTTTTGCTCATCTTCGACCTGGTCAATTTCGATCATAACTTCTGGCCAAAGCTTACGCCAAGATTTTCTTAGCGTGTCAGGATTTAGTTCTGCCCAAGACTCAGCCCTTGTATAGATAGCATCTTTAATGTTGAGTGATTTCATGACTTGGAAAATATCACATCCTTCTTCGGATTTTTCTAAAATCGAGCTTATGTATTTTCGGCGATAACGCCTTTTAAAACATTCTATCACGCCCTGGTCCATAGGCTGGATAAGTGATGTGACATTTGGTGGGAGGAAGATAGCTTTTATATCCCCTTTTACTAAATCTTCCTCAGAAGGGTGCGATGGTGCGTTGTCTAATAGCAGTAGAGCTCGAACAGGAAGATTTTTTTCGTCAAGTCCTTCTCAACACATGGCACAAACTCGTCAAAAAAACCAAGATTTGAAAAGATTGCAGTCCATCCAAGCAGATTTTTGGTTGCGATAATAAACCGGCACGGATGATAAGTTTATGTTTTTGAAAGCCTTGGGCTTCTTAGATTTGCCTATGACAAACAGCGAAAGCTTGTGTGTTCCATCAGCATTGCTACAAGGAGCAACAGTTAGCCTATCTTTCATGAGTTTCGTTCCCGCTACGGTTTCATTTGACGCACTTAAGGTTTTGTTTGGAAGAATTTTATAGTTTAGGCCTGTCTCGTCTATGTTATAGACTTGGCAAGGTAACAGTTCATTTTCTTTTACAATTTGTTGAAACTTCACAGAAAACTCCTTAGCCGCCTCGACGTCAGCAGATAATTTTTCACCACAAATTGAGACAAACCGGATACCATGACGGGTTTTCCAACGATCAATCCAGCCTTCACTGGCTTTAAATTCACTTCCGACTTCTAGTTTTTTGTGCAAAATTATTGCCTTTTCTTTTATAATTGGGCCAGATATCGGAGTTCCCTTCCTTCTTTCTTGACTGAACCACATCCATAGAGCACTATCAAGCAGTTCAAGTTTAGGCTTTTTTAATGTTTTTCGCTTTTTAAGAGCGTTTTCTCCATCTACTATCGTCATTGTATGTGATTCAATTTCTTTTCGATTTTTTCTCCAATCCTTAATAGTCGTAACGCCTACATTCAGTTCCTTGGCAATTTTTTGTAGTGATTCACCTTTGTCCAGCCTTTGAAGCCCTGCAAGTTTTTCACTTAATGAACGCGTAACGTGTTTACGTTTTGCTCCTGACATGTTGAAAATAATGTACACACTTTAACTCACAAAGTTCGAAATAATACTGATAGAATGGATTGTGATTTTCGGAGAAATTTTCGTCGTAAACAAATCGACCGCCGGGGATTTCCGCGAAGCCAAGCAGGTCGGATTACCCGGAGCGTCGGACTATCCGAGGGCGGACGAGAGGGGTTCTACTGTATATTTGTATTATGTAATGAAAATTGTATGTATACTCCATTCGCTTAGCTCAGGCATATTTTGACAGATTCATTGTTGGAAACCTACAACACAATAATTCCTACTTCTAAGTATTAGTAGCTCAAGTATACTACTATTGCAGACTTCTTCCTTTGAAAAAAGAAGGATTATTCTAAATAGTGGAAGTGTATACTAAACTCATCAAATTTTGGGTAGTATTATATTTAAAAAATATATTTTAGTTGTTATAATTTAACATACCTATTTAATATATGGTGCAGATAAATAAATATTGATTGTCAATAATCCGCAAAGTTCTATTTTATTTACTATTTAGTTTGTTTACTATTAATATTGGCTATGAGTATGTGTGCTTGGTTGTACAGTAATTTCCAGCCACTTTTAATCTGTCAAAAAGTAACTAACTTCTCAAAAAAAATTACTAAATTCACTAGACAGTTTGGACTAGGAATAGCGAACCAAGTATATCTTTATATATGTACTAAAGAGATACTTAATCAGATTTACATTACCGTAATACAAAGGCGATTTAAAATTATTTTTGGGCCACTGGCATAACTAATTATGGAATCTAAAATTCGCTTCTTTAACAATTCATAATGATCTTCGGGAATTTCATTCCAATGCTTCATAAGTTTTGTGTGAAGTGTGGTAGCAGCAAAAAATTGAACTTCAGAACTCTAAAATATAAATACAACATTAAAATAGTAATAGTACTAATACTACAATAATAAAAATTAACTAACAGTCAGTAAAATGAGATACTAAAAGTCCAAAACAATAAGGGTTTGTAGCGGCATTTGACTTTATAATGCTCTTGACATTTAGATGAAATGAATGAAAAAAAAATGTAGACATAAGAATCAACTGAATAGATACAAATAATACTCAGTATATTATTTGATGATCAATTCTTAAAGCATTTTTAGACCAATAAAAGAAAGCTCAGGTTTAGAATCAATCACCATTATATTATGTGATCTTTAGTAGACAACAGCACATTATATTAATTTGGAAACTGTTTAACATACATGTACTTTTGTCAAATCCTAAAGTTGATAATATATGTTATGAGTTAGAATCAGCTAATTCTAAACTATCAAATGTATGTTAAGAAACATAGGTAGTTCCATATTTGAGACACATACTCTCTGGTGAAGATTATGATGTGCTAAAATGCCTAATACTTGTGTGCTCTTAATAATATGCATATCTTGTATGCCTAATAATAAATGTGCTCTTCTTATCCAGCAGAAACTGCGACTATTATTCAGGGACAGTAGCAATTATGTACTAGAGTGGGTTGAGCCATTTGCTGCTTCAACACTTGTGTTGACTTCTTGAATTGCAATCTTTAACTAATGTCCTTGTATAAACATTTTACCTTTATATTAGGCATCTCATTTTACCTAGACACAAAAATAAAAAAACCTGATATGTAATGATTTTAAAAACTTTACTCTTTGAGGATTGAGAAGTTCCCAAACAAAACTCCATGCTAGAGGAGAATTTTGAGCTTCTGTTAACCACTGATGTGCTTCTGCTTGTTGATGAGCTTCAGTTCGATAAAATAAAGTAACCGCTTTTTCTAAATTATCTGCTGTAAACTCCATTTTACTGCTTTATACAATTTCAGAATTTCAATATAAAAACATAAATATTTTTTTAGCTTTCAACATTCTCCCACAACCTCAAAATTTTTGACAGCGATTTCGGATTTTTATCCGAACAGTGTTGTCAATTCACATATTATTTTTTCGTAATCTACTGAAATCTAGTTGTCCTTGAATTATATTGTATATATTTTCAATAAAGGCTGAATCTGATTAGATAAATAATTATTATTTTAATATTTCTTGTCATTTACCTGCTACATTTTAGAATGATGTTGATATCTCATGAATATAGTATTTCATCCATAAATAATTTATACTCACATTTACATGGGTTATAAGGAAATTAAACACAATCAATTTCGGTAGTCTTTATCTCTATACATGTTTGTTTTAAAAATTAAGATTGTAAGATTTGATTTTAGAAATCAATTTCAATTCCCACATATTTTAAATATCTTTTCTATTTTTCCTTTTGTTCTCGTGAAAATGCCTAAGAGTCATATGTCAATTTTGAAATAAGAAATCAAGTTTTTTCTTTTATTATCCAATAAAAAAGGAAGAAGAAGAAGAACCTTTTTCTTTAGGTTAGTAAAAGTACGTGACATTATATTTTACAAATTAAACAATATTGTATTTTTGTAGTCATCGCCTGGAAATAATCACTTTTTAAGATTAACAATGCCAGCAGCCGACGAAATAAAGTCCAGCTGGGCTGACGAGGTAGAATTAGAAGGAGGTGCCTTGCCACCACCCAGTGAAGTCTTCGAAAATGGTTTCAAGATTGTTACTGAATATAAATACAATGAAGACGACAAGAAAGTTAAAATTGTCAGGACGTACAAAATTGAGAAGCGTGTTGTATCCAAGTCAATTGCTCTCCGTAAAACATGGAAAAAGTTTGGTGATGTTGCCAATGATAAACCTGGTCCGAATCCCGCGACTACCATCGTAGCCGAAGACGTTTATATGCAGTATATCACTAGTAAGGAAGAAGATAATAAGCAGGATGAAGATTCTTTGGACAAATTGAAAGGTAAGGTACACTCTTTCTATTTTTTTTTATAAATTCAAATCTAAACTAATAAATTTGAAAATATGGGGATGGTCCTTAAGTGCACCCTGGCTCGGTATACATTAACTAGAGAACTAAGATCGCCTCAGTTTAAGTAAATGCAGGAAACTTTTTCCCCATATAGTAAACATATATCAAACTACTCACAGATGGTATTGGTTTTTTGGGAACTCACAGAGGACTTGAGATCACAGCAGTTTTAGAGGTAAAGGAAGCTTCTCAAACTACTCACAGATGGCATTTGTTTTTTGGTGATTCTTAAAAATCTTAGGGGATTTTGGGAATGGGAATGTTTAAAATAAAAATATAAAAATCAGAAAGGTGCATGTTTGAGTGTGTAGTGTAGATGCAGTAAATATAAAGTTAATAGCAGATAAGACAAAAAGAGAGTAAGTAAAACTAATATTATGATAGGTAAATGGCAAGATAGGAGAGATGTTATATTCATCTCTATTGAATTTAAAAATCATCTAGCATGGTCAAAAATAGAAATAGAATATAACAGATTTATTGGTGGAATAAATCTCTAAGATCAGCAGATAGCATACTATCCAGTGATACAATTATTACCACTGACTACACCTTCAATTACAACCAACGAAGGGAATATTGGGCATGTACCTGTAAAAGTTGGCCTGGTAAATTATCATAGCAGGACTAGAAAAGATACTTTATACAGTTGTGCAGAGATATCAGGTCTCTGCCTAGGTAAATGTTTAATGGGGAATCACAAATAAAACTTTGCACATTTCTTCATTTTGAATATGTTTTATTTTTTATTTCATGAATGAGTTTCGACTTTTTTAAAGATTACATTATTTTATTAAGAAGCTCAGTTGAGTTCTCCGCTTATTTTTTGAAAATCCTGTGTGTGTTTTGCAAGAAATTTTAATAAAAAATGTTATAGATTACTTTGGGGTATTTATAGTGCATTGCATTAAACATTTAACATTTTTCTTTAAAAGACGACCACATACAAGTGTATTATTCTCATTTGCATACAACAGCAAGACATTAAAAAAAGTTTAGGTTTCATGTTTATCTAATTTATCTTTGTCTATTTTTGTCTTTGTCTTTTTTTCTGCAAAACTTACTTCATAAACTTCTTTTTTATCTTTGTTTCAAGTATAATCACTAACACTTTTTTGGTATTTTTAATTATTATTTTTAACTCCTTTATAACTTTTAACTTTATTTCTCACCAATAGATGTGCACATATTACGAATTTAGCTACAAAATATCATCAAATATCTTGTATAAATATAATAGACTAAAACTATAATCTAAAGCATGCATAGGAGACCAAGAATCAATATTACCTTTTTTAAATAATTGTTTATTTTTCTTACTTCAGGAATGGGTGATAAGAAATTCTTTAAATGTCGTACATGTAATGGTGAGCATTGGACTACAAAATGTCCATGGAAGGACACTATGTTTGTTGGTGGAAAGCCACCAGATGATAAGAAAATATCAGCTGTTGGAGGTGCAGGTATGTATATACGAAATTATTTATTACTATTATAATATATTGCATTTTGTTTTCTTTATTTGATCTTTGTTACATTTCTTTTTAATATACTAGGTGAGTTGTTATAAAAATAGCATATAATAAATCTCTATGATTAGCATGTAACACATATATGCTAGTCATAGATGTTAAAAGGCTTTTGATAGAATGAAAGTTTATTTAAAATAGGAAAACTAATATGACAAAAGAAAGTTTGAAATGTACTTTGCATTATGTAATACCAAACTGAGATTCCAAGAAAAATGAGGTTAATTTTAACATTTTTTAATTCAATACAGTGTTATGATACTTCAACAATATAAACAATAGGAAACTACGGGCTAAGAAACTATATCAGTTTCAATCCTAAAACACATATTGGTTTTAAAGGATTTGAATAGACAAACACTTATATACAAAATTATACAAAACTACAGTTTCAGAAGAAAAAAATATACAAAATGTTTCTCTTGAAAATTATAGTGGAAGTGAGGATTTTCTGGGGTACATTGAAATAATAAACACCAAGTTATGTTCTATAGCAACGACTTCAACTTTATTTCAATAAACAATATTGGCAACACGCCATACATCAAGTGTTTACAAATTTATATAAAGATGGCGCTACATGTATTGAAATACCTTTTTTGATACATTACAACAGTTTCAAGCAAAACTAAACAAGTTATTTGGCGTAAAGACAGTTATGCTAAGAATATAATAAGTAAGAAAGAAGAAACAAAAATATATGAGTCTGAAAAGAGGGACAGTGAAAAAGAGGTTTGAAAAGATTGGAATGAAAATATGGGAACATAACTACAGAAAAAAAAAACAGGAAGAAACACTAGTTCCAAATTCATACTAAAGAATTAAAAATAGAACTACTTTACCTCAATAACAAGATGAAATTTATTGAGAATACAGTATATTCAAATTTTTTTCAAGATTTTTATTGTATGATGATGCTTGTAGGATGTTTAAAAAAACTGAATATTAGAAAAGTTTTTCAATATATAATAATAAGAATTATTTAATTGTGTTATTTGATAAGTCTTATTGGACTTAGATATTATAAAAATTTAAACAAAGAAAAACCTATTGATTGTGCTATTATAATAGCAAAATATAAAAAAGACCAAAACACTAGAAATAAGTACACATATTGAAATAATTATCTTGGTGAAATATTACATTAAAATTAAAATATATGAAAAATTTCTGAATATGGACTAAAAAAAATGAAAATAATGGAAACAAAAAAAATCTTGCTGCTATTATAGATCTTTTTGATTACATAGTACTTAACTTTATTCTTTTTGATTTTAAGTGTAATTCCCAACTCTTCTAGATATAGAAACAATTATTATATTACATATTTAACCAGTCAAAAGTAACAGGTAATAATTAAATGTTTATTGTTTTAGCTGTTGGTGAGACTGGCAAACAAGGTTCCAAATATGTACCTCCTAATTTGAGAGATGGAGGTGTGAAGAGAACTGATGGGTCTAATGTAGCTAAACGAGATGATAGTTCCTGTGCTATCAGAATTGCCAATTTGAGTGAATCCACAACTGAAACTGATTTAGAAGATCTGGTCAAACAATTTGGACCAATTCAAAAATTGTATTTAGCAAAAGACAAGATAACTGGTGGATGTAAAGGATTTGCTTATATACATTTCAAATTTCGTTCTGATGCAGCAAAGGCGATCGCAATGCTTCATGGACATGGTTATGATCATCTTATTCTCACTGTTGATTGGTCCAAGCCATCACCAAATTCTAACCAATAATTGTATCATCAGGTTTTTGAATAATAAAAAGTTTTTGAGTAATTAATTTCAAGTGTTTTCTTTATTTTTTTATTTAATTTAATTAACAAAAGATAAAACTTAAACACATACTTTAATAATAGTAAGTGTTACTGCACTTTTAGTTCCAATTTAAATACAGGCTATACATTCATTAGTTTATTTAGAATTTAGGGGTTCATTGAATGATCTTCTTTTTATTAATTTTCATGTCTATCATCACTTAACACCATGAAAATATGCGAGAGAGTAATTGACAGAGATCTGTGCAGAAACCTAAAATCTGATAATCAGTTTGGTTTTATGCAAGACACATTCATAACAGATACAATTTTCAGTATAAGACAGCTGATAGAATAATACAGGAATAAACACTCATATGGTAATCATTGACAACACACATCTCAAACAAACACTTATATGGTAATCATTGATCTAGCACTCCGTAAGAAAGGAGTTCCCAGTGAAGATTATGAGAGACATGTATGAGAGGGTAAGAACTAGTGCTAAGACAGGTGTGGGAGAAACTGATAAATTTCATGTGAAAGTAGTATTGCACTAGGTTTTGGTGCAAAACTACAAGGTAATATTCCCTAGTGCCTAATGTATGCTGCGGATGTAGTGTTAGTAGGAAGTATTGAAAGTGATAGTGTTAGTAGAAAATACTTAGAACAAAAACTGGAACAAAAACAGGACAAGCTCATTTAAGAAAAATGTTTAAAACTTTGTCTAACAAAAACAGAGCATTTAAAGGAAATGTTAATTTAAATATGGAGTTACTTAAGATAAAATGCTAAGTATGGATGATTGTAACAAAAGTACTAATTTTAACACATTTACAGTATTAGTTTTTGTTCTCTCTCTTTCATTGCTTAAGCTATCACCTCTATTGGATAAGTTGGTATCAAATTTTCAATGAGTGGTAGTGCCGGGGGAAGAACTCAGCATTGATGAAACTGTAGTTGTGTTTAGGGATCGACTGTCATTTAGACAGTATATCAAAAACAAGAGACATAAGTTCAGGGTGAAGATATACAAACTCTGTTTGGTGTTTGGATGGAGGTTATACTTATTTATCTAAAAAATATTGTGGTAGTGGTAAAGCTGAAAATATGTTAGTTCCAGATAGTGTTGTGCTTCGTTTAGCTACTAACTTATTAGATGTTGGATGTACCATATTCACAGATAATTTTTATATTAGCATTGCATTAGCACATAGGTTGCCAAATAAAAATACAAATTTGGTGGAAACTTTAAGACAAAATAGAAAAACTTAATCCGAAAAAAGTGACTGGAGCAAAATTAAAGAAAGGGGAGATTATTGGGATGGAGAGTAACATAGGTGTAGTAGTAACTAAGTGGAAGGACAAACGCGAAGTGCTTGTGCTGAATACAAAGCATACTGTTGAAATGATAGACATCCAACAAAGGGGACGAATAGTTGAAAGTTTGCCAGTTTCTATTGTTGACTACAATAAAAGTAAAGGATTTAGGTATATCCGACCAAATAAAGTCTTGCTGTACAGCATTACGAAAATCATTGAAATGGTATCGTAAAATAGCAATTCAGCTCCTAGGGTCAGCTATTGTCAATGCCTATATAATTTTCCAAAAAGTAACCAACAATAACATGTCGCATCACAAGAAAGAGTTGGTTTGTCAACTGGTAAATTTTTCTAGACTAACTAATCCGGAGCAATATATCCCATATACTCGAGAAGGTCACCAAGTAGAGAAAATAAAAAGTTTGGTTAGAAAATGTGTCACACGGTACGCAAAAAATTCAGCAGATAAGGTGGAAAATTTGCACCCACTAAAACTCCATTTTCTAGTTTCAAGTGCACTTAATGCAATACATTCTATTGTGTCACGTGGTTGTGCGAGGTTCATTCATGTAATCTATAGACATTTGTGTAATGTATTGGCCATGTAATTATAAACCCCACTTGCGACGCTCATGTATTGCTAATTATCGCATTATATAACCAGTTAGGTTACAGGTAAAACAATTAACAGTTGTGTTTGATATGTAGTTAAATAAACATTTGTTTTGGGTTCATCCAAGTGTTTTTGTACCAAACATTTCAATTTGTACACAAATATTATATTTTTTTCACTTATTTCTTAGGTAGAAACGTATTGCTAATTTTAAAGGACCCTTACTCATATTTTGCATTAAAAACGGTTGTTTCCGTTATATATAAATAAAATTTAGTTTCAAGCTACATAATAATAATTATATTGTTTTATTGCTAAACCCTAGTATCCTAAAAATGTAAAGGAGTTCATCTGAGTATGAGATAGAATGGTGCTTCTCGTACGTCAGTAAGTTTAGTGTGTGAGATGCACACTTATTGCTTCTTGTGACATTTAACGTGTTAAGTACTCAGGATCGGCATTACAGAGTAGTGGGGAAATAATGCATGCCATAGAAGTAAGGTGGGATGGATTAAGTGAGTGGTGTGTTGTGTGACAGAAAGATTCCAATAAAACTGAAGGGAAACTTCTATAAATAATGAATGGATGTGACGAAAATGAGAATGGAGTGACAAAAAAGAATGACATTAATAAAAGGTGAAGTGTTAGGTTGGTACAAATTGATGCCAAAATGAGAGAGCATAGGCTCAGATGATTCCGGTATGTTGAATATCGAGACATTAATAAACCAATACGAAAAATTGTTGATTTGTAAGTTCCTCAAAAGAGTAGGAGAGGAAGACAAAAAAGAACTTGAGGAGACGCTTTAAGGAGATCATGTCGGCAAAGGGGATTGCTATTGGTGTGATAGAATATAGAGACTTTCATGATAGAGATCACATGTTTGTTTTTCTTTAAATAAATATTTTATTCCAATTTTTCGACTTTATTCGTTTGTTGACTTTCTATTTTGTTTTATTATTTTTTTTCTAAAAATAGTTGATGCTCTACTTTTCTATCAACTAAATATTCTGTTTAATAATTAATCTGTAATTTAAATTTTCATTTATTTCGTTTATATTCTCATTTATTCTTGTTCCCGTTTTCACACCCCATATCAAGTAGCTTTAAGTAGTACTGATTTTTGACAGAAAATTTACATATATTTATATGAAATTACCTGATAACGACCTGTCAGTGAATTTTGATGAAGCTGCTAACCGGCTGGACTATTGGACTGTTATTTAGCTGATGTGCAGTATTATTCTACCGCAATTTACATAATATGTCGCCTATTATGAAGCTAATAACCCAAATTGTATCTGAAAGGTTTCAGGTGCTAAACAGGGCAACGGGTACAGTGATTCGCCACTTAAGGAATTGCCAATTGAACTAAAATTGTAAATTACCATCTTTAAAAGTGAAATATTTTATAATGGTTTTTAAATAACAACGAAACATAAAATTTTATAAAAACTCAGGTTCTTTTAATCAGAAATAATAATGTATATCAAAAAATAAACACAAATTTGGAAACTTACAGAACTACACAGTTATTGGCCATACATAGTTATTGGCATATAGAAATATAGTCATTGGCCATTTATACAATTCCTAATTATTTTTATTGTTTGTACAGGTAAGGCAGACAAAACTATTTAAGTTTTAATTATCTTGTTGTTTGCACAAGTACCAATCCTTTACACAAAATGTCATTTTTACGGTGGGTTGGTATAGTCCCATTGTTTCACCGTTATATCTGAGAGAATTTGTATTTTTTCATATTCTGGATATCCCTCAGTTTCAAAAAATAACTTTCTTTTAGCCGACTCACCAGCGCGTTTTTCTTTGCTGGTTTCCAAATTTGTACATTTGTTTTGGGATGTATTCTTCAAATTTGATGAATTCATATTGTTGCAGACATAAAAATATGTTATCAATTCGGGCAGATTAACGTTTCCCTCCACAGAATCATAACATTCGTTCCGTGACAATTCTTGTTTTTCTTTGAGGACAATAACATCTGGTATATGTACTCTAACTCCACTTTTCAACGTAGTGATTTTAATTGTATGATCAATAAGTGTGTCTGCTTTCAAAATATTTGTACCTGTAATATTACCTAGCTGTATTAACTGTAGCATTTTCTTTATTCTTCACAGCAGTTTGACGTTTTTGCTCCCGGAATTGACTCTTGTGGCAATTTTTTTTATTACTTTCATCTTGGTTTCCTTGTTTTTTTACCTTTATGTTTGCTTTTGCGTCAATTCGCTTTGTTCTAATTTTATTTTTTTTTGTTCTGCTTTTTCTTCAATTTTATGCCTCTCTGCATTTTGACGACCTGAAGAAGTGAGCACGAAAGGCAACCTTTCTTCTTGCTTTTTTGCTTTCTTTCTGGGGTTTTTGGCCAAAAAAAGAATTTGTGGATTAAGGTGTCAATTTCTTTAGATAATGAGTTGTCTTGATTAACTAAAAGCAGATTATTGGATGTCGATTGAATATCTAAAGTCGTTGTATCTTTTATGTCATCCTTTATATTATATGTACCTACCACGTTTTCTAAAAGTTGAACTCGAAAATTCGAAAGTATATTTCTTATGTAATAACAGAAACATATTGTACGGTGCATATGATTTCATTGCCACCTACAGGGTTAAGTGTGATATCTGAAGATATATGGGTTTCTGTGTCTTGTATATCATTTGTGATGATTCCAACTGCCTCTGTAGTCTGAATCGTAGATAGATCTATGGTATTTTGAAATAATTTAAATATATTAGAGAGCAATTTTGAATCTCGCTTTAGTTCTTCGCAATTATCCAAACTTTGAAATTCTAATATTTTTGCGGCTCAAACTGTGGAGCCGCAAAACATCGCTCCAACTTCATATGTTATTGATTTTGTCATATAAATAGTGTGATTAATACCTAATTAGTTGGGTCTTTGATTTTTCCCAAACATTTGGAATAGTCTATTGTTTCAGGGTTCCATGGATACAATCCAGGTGCTTTAAAGCCATTAATTATGGAATCTGATTTTAATTGACTAATGGCTGTGTTTAGTACCTTCCAATGTCAAATTCACTTTGGTAACTACTGAGTTCGGGTTTTC